AGTTTTTTTTAAAACGCATTATTTTTCACACAATTTACCTTTATTCCATATTAGTGTTGGGTCGTTCTTGAACGATTCGTTCATTTTGAACAAATCTTTAATGTGACTCGAGAAGAACGAGTCGTCTCGGGGAGTGCATGCGCAACATCCTATAGGTTCTGTACTGGAATTAGTCAAGACCATTAGTGACAGACCCATAAGCTTAACCTATGCAGTCTGAGCCAGAAAGAGACTTAATAATAATAACCAACTCTTTATTACCTTTGTTACAACATTCAGTGTTATGGAAAATAACCATCATGACAGAAATTCACAGATTTAGAAACTGTAAGAAGTAAAAAGCTACAATTTGAGACCAGAAACGCATCACGTAACTGTAAGAGTAAATAATAATTATAATGATGATGATAATAATAATAATAATAACTATGCACCCATTTGTAAGGAAGCTTGTAAATTAACTAATTTCTCTATCCAATGTTGTCACGTAACAAAAGAACGAATGATTCGAATTTCGAAAGACTCGAGAGATGAACTAATCAATTCTCTTTCCAGCTCAGACTGCATTGGTTAAGTTTATGGGGCTGTTACGTGATGAACGAACGACTCAAACCCGAAGACTTGTCAGATATAAGAGGTGAGGTGACCTAATCATAGACTGAAGACCCAGGTAAACAATGAATTCATCTTTTCTGTTTCTTATAGCAGTTTTGTATTGTTTGTAGTGTGATCAACGTTTGCGTAAGTAGTAGACGTGTTAGGGAAGTAACACGTAACATTTTAATGATATTTTGCTGAAATGAACGAAATAACTCGAAAAAAGATTCGTTAATTTTGCTGAACGAGACTCAAAGGTTCGAGTCGGTAAAATGATCCGAACTTCCCATCACTGCTTTGATTCCATGCACCTGTGTTCCCCTGATTGCCCTGTTTATAAGCCCCAGTCTGTTCAGTTTGGTTTTGTGGGGTCTACTTGTGTATGTCATCCTTGTGCTCTGTGTCTCCCTTTTGGATCATTAAAAGACTCTCGTTCTGTGAAATCTACACGTTTCCTCGTGCCCGTGCCTCAGCGAATTGTGACAATAGCATAATCAATTCAAATTACATTTTTTATGACCATGTTTGTCTTGGAACACAATTTTTGGTTATATGGCTGTTATGAGATGCTGGTTACAGATGTAGGAAACTGGGGAAAAGCCTACTATATTTATGCATTTTGAGAAATTTAAATATGTACTCTAATATGAATCTACCAAATAATAAAAAAATGAACAGTATTTTACAATTATGTTTATGAATTAAGTTGATGAGGTCTAAAACAGTGGTTTGCAACCAGAGGGATGGTGGCCTCAGAAAACTTACAAGGGGGAATTAATCATTCTAAAAATTACGTAGCAACCAACTTTACAGTTTTTGGACCAAACGAGATGGACTGGCTCTTGTGTAAATTTTGAATGTCCAAAGCAATATGTGTGAATTAATTGTCTTAAGGATATACTGTGTATAATTAAATGAATGAAAATATTGGATTGTGGTTGCATGGGTACATCTTGTTGCCTTGGTTAATCATAAGGTGATAAACAGTCCTTGAACAGCATCCTCATTAATCCTGAGCCACTGTGAGTTGATTATACAGCTGCAGTAGCGTTTACCTGAGTGCAAGCGTGAAGAGAGACCATTGTTGGGATGGTTAGGGTCCTTAATGATTTTTCTGGTTCTTTTCCTGCACCTCTTGAATTAAATGATCTGTAAGGTGGAAAGAGTATCCCTGATGATGCACTCAGTGGAGCATTTCGATATCTGCAGGGCCTTGCAGTCCTGAGATGTGGTGTTTCTAAACTATGCTGTGGTGCTACGTGAGAGAATGCTTGTGTTGTAAAAAAAAATTGACCTTAATATCTAGTAACTTTCTCAGAAGTCTGAGATGTTGGAGGTGCTGCTGAGGTGGATTTTGTAGACAGATGTGGACTGAGATTTGAATAGTGGTTAGGATGGGGTGTGTAGCTTGATGAAGCATTCAGTCTAGAGCAGGAAAAGGCTTTTGGCAGCTGTGTATCGAAATCTTGAACTTAGGAAATAGCAGCAAGTGGACAAAACTGGAGCTATAATGTGACATAACAGAATTTATAGAGATTAAAAGAATAGATCACCTAAAAATGGAAATCTGCTGAAGTTATACTTACCCCCACCCACCTGGGATTTTATCAATAACGATAATTAGATGAGCAGTTAAATAATTGTATTAGTATAATAATGTTATTGTGCTGATATCTTAAGGACTACCGTGGACAACTGACTCCTAATATTCTTCATATTCTGTGTGGTCTTAATATTCTTCATATTCTGTGTGGTCGTTCTGATCATTTCAGTCAAATTCTTAAATTGAATCAGTCAATTAGAATAATAAGTCATTTGGGCTGTTACCAAGCAAATGAAATCAGTATTGACAAAATTAATCTTTGCAATGCAGAGAAAACAGAAGCTGCATCTGAAGTGGCATTTAGATGCATTTACACACTGTTTAATGCAGGACATGAATGCATTTAACCTGCAGTTACAAATGCATTAATACAGTTTTGATATTTTAAACATAAAACGTTGAATACTGATATTTGAAATTATTAATATTATTATTATTTTTTAATTAAAATATATTTTAAATGTGAAATTAAAACTGTCAGTAGGTGGCAGCAAGTCACTGTTAATAAGTGAGTCATTGCGACTGAACCGAATCATTTAAACGGTTGATTCATTCAGGAACAAAACGCAATTGGAATTATATTTGATGGCGAAATAGAGCAAAAACAGTCGATATTGTGTCTAAAACGTAAGTGTTTTAATATTAAATTATTGTTTATTGAACTGCTGTATAAAATCAATATCACATTTGTAATCATGCTGCTTTTTGGTGGAAAAAACGTCAGTCTTCGCGTGATACTGATTAACTATGAAATGATAGCCTATAAATATATACATTTCTGCACCCATATCTTGAATTTTGTGATCATTCTAAATGCATTTTAATAAACTGATTCATGCAGTGAAAGAACGCACACTGGTCTAACCTACTAGACTTCCTATTGCCTTAGCTAAAATTTAGCTGATTTAGATGATTGAGTCATGGATGTTAGCAGCAAGTCAAATTAACTATAATTGCCTTTTGTCTTTTGGATAAATAGCTGTAAATTCGAGGCACAGGTAGCTTAGTCTGTTGTAGGTATGCTGGGGAAAAGTCATGTTTATGAGGTCTACTAATCTGCTACAGTGACGGCTTCTAGGAAAAATTCATTGGACTGGACAAAGTTTGCTATGTTTAAGTCCATGCTTTATTGCAAGTTAATGGGATATCTTGAGTAAAGCTGTGTAGTCCACTTTGTTATGAATATGACATAATCACTACTTTTAACTATTGGATGGATTGTAATTCTGGACACAAAATTTCAACACATTTTCCACAAACTCCTTTACTGTTGTCTGTACAGTAGTTCCCTGGACCTGTTATTGTTTGAGTACTCAGTGAAATGTTTGACATTATAGTACTGTAATGTAATCCAGTTCAGACTTATCTATCCTTAAAGGGATAGTTCACCCAAAAATTCTGTCGTCATTTACTCACCCTCAAGTTTAGCACAAAAGAAGATATTTTCAAGAGTGTGGGTTAACCAAACAGTTATATGAGAGGCATTGGGGAGCAAATGTTCGGTTACCCACATTCTTCAAAATATCTTCTTTTGTGTTCAACAGAAGAAAGAAATTCATACATGTTTGGTCAACTTGAGGGTGAATAAATGATGACAGAATTTTCATTTTTGGGTGAACTATCCCTTTAAGTCATGAAATAAAAGTTATTTTAAATTGTAAAATATTTCACAATATTACATCCCCCCCCCCTTATTTTGCAGTCTTGGTGAGCATAACTTCTCCTTTCAAAAACATTTTTAAAAATCTGACCGGCCCCAAATTTTGGAATAGTATAGTAAATATAGAAAGAGAAATAAATAAATGGATTAATTGTGAGGCAAACACAGTCCAAATGCAAAGTGTTTCAGTTCCTCACTAAGACGTCGACAACCTGATCCTTTATATAAAATGTATTTAGTTTAACATACTTTAATTAATTACATCAAATATTTTTTTCTTGGTGCTTTAAAATGTACAGTGAGGAAAAATATATTAATTGTTACCGTCAGCAGACTTTATTTTCTGTTTCAATCAAGCAGACTGATTTCACATTTTCAAAAACATGATTAAAATGTTAGACACAGTAAACAGTCATCTGAAGTCAGTTTTAACATGTAGTTTGTTTATAATCTTGTCCTTTGCCACTGGCCTGTGTAAATATTGTAAATATACAGTAATATACGGTCATTTATTTTCATTACAACTTCACAGTTAAGATATCTTAAAACAACTCCAGTAGATTATGGCATTCTCCTTTAGCCCTTAAAACACTCTTGAGTAAGTAAAATGACTATGATGAAAAAGCGCAATGATTGAGTGTTTAAAGACCTCCCAAGCTACGGAGAATTTTGACACGTGCAAGTAGTCCATCAGTCCGCTTGTGTAGAGCTCTTTAAATGGGCCATTAGTACGTCCGCGCGCGCGTGTCAGTGCTGAGACGAGCGCTAGAGGAGGCAGCAGTGGCGCATCTCACATATCCGCCGCTGGAATATAACGGCTGCTTTAGGATGTGAACGGGTCTCGGCCTCGTCACCGGCCAAAGCTTCTGTTTTCCCATGACAAACAGATGCGAGAGGAGAGCGACCGCGCGCGAGAGTGAATGGTACAGGGGAGCGGAGAGATCCTCGGTATTATTATGAGAAAAGAGGACGGGGTTGTCGGAGCCGTATTTGTTTTGCTCGCGGAGATGAGGCGGGGGGTAGCGAGTCGCTACAACATCGTTGGGCTCCGGCCAAGCATTACTCTGTTTTAGCACATATACCGCCGCGCTTACGTTTTCATCGTCAACTGACTCGTTCGATCCTTACGGTTTGCATCGCAGAAAAATAATGCCGCTGTCTCGAGGACATCTGTGAGATTTACGGACTGCTGTTGCCGCTGTCATGACAGACGCAGGCTTTACCGAGCAGGCGGTGTGAGAGAAGCTCGGCCCCAGCTGCGTTTACCGGGGGAGATTAAATCTGTAAATACTGCTCGCGTTTTTCCTCTTTAATCGTGTTAATCGTCTCAGGGAAAATGTCCTCTCGGTCTGCTTTACCGTCTGCGAACGACCGGAGCACAGATCATGTAAGTATCTTCATTTCAAATGAATTATCATTGTTGTAAAATATCATCTCAGTGCCCCGTTTCCATTCATATCCTACAACGCCCAGTGTTTAACGTCAGGTGCACCGTCATTTTTGCAGCCGGGATTGAATATCAGGCATTCATTGCCATGGGAGGATGGAGAGGCAGGATACAGTGGCCCATGTACGTGTAAGCAGGTTCTTTGGCAAAATGGGCCGTATCATTGAATGTACAAAGCAGCAAAAGAGGCGCTGCGAAACGCGCAGGCAGTAGAGCTCAGGCCATCCGCATAGTGTACACATCAGCGCATCAACTGCGCACATGCGCTCTCAGCGCGCGCTCCTCTCCCAGAGAGCGGTTTTGCTTCATTGGCAGAATTTGCGGGAGAAAAGCAAGGAAACACTCTATCTCTGCATATCAGAAAATGACTATAGCCATTCGGCGCACCAGAATCAACTAGGGAGGGTGAAGTGAGGTTTCACCGCTAGCTGTGTTCTGCCGTTCGCGTACAGTCCCGCGCTTCTGAAACTGACGCACTGGCTGGTGTAGTGGCCTACCAGTTCTGCGCCAACAAATTACAGTGTGGTTCATGAACTGACTTAGACTTGTGTTTGCTTATGTATTTAGTGTCGCTTCAGTAAACTAAATCTAAAGCAACTATTGTTTATTTACCGATTGTAACCGCGTTGGGGGAAAAACACTCATGTGATGGTAACACTCAATATATTTTTACTCACTGTACATTTTAAAGCAATTGCACCAAGGTAAATGGTTTAAGTAATTTATTGGAGTATGTTCAACTTACCAAATTATAATGACCAGGTTCTTGATGTCTTAGTTAGGAACTGAGAACGCAGCTTTGCTTTTGAACTTTGTCTGCCTCAAAATATATATAAAATTATTAATTCCTTACTCTTTATATATATATATATATATATATATATATATACAGGTGCATCTCAATAAATTAGAATGTCGCGGAAAAGTTCATTTATTTCAGTAATTCAACTCAAATTGTGAAACTCGTGTATTAAATAAATTCAATGCACACAGA